AGCTTATCGGGAATCTACTTCTTTTGGTCGACAAGCAGCTGACTTACTTTCTTCCTTTTCCTATCATTTTGCTCACTCTGCTTTTGGATACTGCTCGAAGGTCTTTGCACAAAAGCCTCGTCGCTTGACGAGGCCACGTGGTCAGTCAACTCTCCCAGCTGATCGTGTCGCTTGCATGCCACTTCACGCCCATGCTTCACCACTGTCTCGCAACGCGGATCACTAACCTCTGAGCACCGATCGGAAAGTTGTGATGTCTTCGATATGTTCAGAGAAGAACAATCAATGAGAAATTATTTCCACGGAGCTCTGAGAATCCTCGATGGTCGCCTCATTTTATTCACCGATCTCAACGCCAGCTAGCTAGCGAAAGAGCGAACGTCAATACTGGTAAGACATCAGGACAAGACGAATGTGGACGAGTGGACTTGCCTAATCGGATTGGAGATCCTCCGCAGATCCCTTCCTCGACTGTCCACCAGTAGAGGTGGGACAGGCAGCAGGAGTGGAGAAGGGGGAATACGCGAGAACGAGAGACGGGGGCCGGTCGGAGAAGGGCTCACAAAGAAGAGGCATATTCAGATCAATCAACTAAAAGCTCCCTGGTCTTTTCTTGCATAGCTCATATTGTGTGTTGGTCGTGTCGACTTCAAGGCCCAGCGAGGACACGATGAGAGGACAAACAGAAAGCTCAGCCCCTGTTTTCGTCCTGCTTTGCCCACCCGCTCGCCCTTGACTAACTCAATCTAACTCGGTTAGTGCAATCCGAAGCTTTCGACGGTGTGTACCCAGTGAACGAACGCATTCCAACTCGCTCGACGTTTTTCCTCGAGACAAAGGAGAAGAAGGCTTGGAAGCCGCGTTCTACTTCTCTGGGGAGCGTTCATGACAATCTTCTAAGAATAAGGGTATACGGATGTCAAAACGATCGCATACTTCGTCGAATGACTGTGTTCGGCTTCCGCAATGTTTTTTCTCCTCTTCCCCGCCTCCTCCTTTTCTATATCTACCTCTTTCTTTTCAAGTCGTCCATTTGAATACGAGTATCTGGCGAACTTAGTCCGCTGATTGTCTGGGGAGGATCCGCTTGAGGAGCTCGTCCCGATGGCTCATTTGGGGCGCTTTTTAAAGGATCCTCATTCGCACCTGACCATCGTCTTCGGTCTTCGCTCTGGAACAGCCAAGACAATGATATTGCCGAAGACGTTCAGCTGTCCGCGAAGTATTTATAAACAGGAGACTTCAATCGTTGACATTTCCTCCCTCCCAGATGAAGCGCGACGTCAACCTCCCGTTGGATTCGCATCTCTGCGAGTGAGAGCTACATGAACGATTGTCGCTGTTCCGAAGCGTGTGCCAACTTCGCGCCAGCGAGCAAGACAGCCAGCTTGGCATCCGAGCGAGCGAGCAGCCGAGCAAATGGAATAAGGTCTGTTCGGATCACGAACCTCTAGCCCACTTACAACAGGCAGGGTATGGGCACGCCCAGCCTAAACTAATTTCAATACAACCAGAACAACACCTTGCGAGATGTTATAACGGTCTCTTGGTATTTCCATCATTGACCCGAGAAATCTTTCAAGCGGAGCTCGATCAAATAACAGACTTTTGATCAATCGTCTGTCACCGACACCTAGCGAAATGATGGTTTGGCAACGCTAGCTGGAGTCATTGTCTATCTGAATTATCGGAATGCGGCGACCGAGAAGGATGACAACCTGTGCACGCCCTAATACATGTATATGAGTGAGCCCCCTGTCGGAATGACCCTCCGGATGAAACTCGGAATATTGAGAGGAATATTCTCCATGACGGACGGAGTCGAGTTCTTTTGGTTCGGCTGGGAATCTCTCCCGAAAACTACCGCACGGAGTCCCGGAAAGCTTCAGAATCTCTCCAAAGACGAGACAGTCAAGGCGAGGAGAATTCTCATGACAATACGCTGCAGCGGTTGCTGGAGAGACCGTGTCATCATGAGCGACTAATTACGGAGACAGGTTCATAGACGTCCTGTCGGCATGCACTCAGCAAGTCCGTCGCTTGTTTATGACCTACTTGGCGACTCCGCGTAATCATGGTCGAGCAGAAACAATCGCGGTTTCGGTTATGATCCGAGCTGTCATGAAGCTAATATTGACAGGGGTGACGACGACGAGGATGTGTCAGGAAAGACAGAAATCTTGAATCGCTGAATTTTGTCGAGAGAAAAAAGGAAACTCAGAGACATTCACAATTCGCCGACAGTCGTGACCAACAGCCGAAACGGATAGCTAAGTAGCTTTGAAGTTGGCTTTGTCGCTCGAATCGCGCAAACACAAGCGGCAGTGCGATTGGCAGCATTGAATGTTGTCAATACAAGAGCGATTTCTGATGATATCCAGCCGTTCCATCGTGTTGCGGTTGAGCCCTTGTAGCCGTAGTTGACGACGATGCTGACTACAACGGTATGGCGATCAGCCATTTTTTAACGGAGTCACGTTGTCTTCAGAGGCGACAGGTGTGTTATCTTCGAATGACGACGGAAGCAATAGAATACGGAGAGGCAAGGTACAAGTCGACAGCAGAAGCAAGGAGACAACTTAAATTCTCATCGAACAATTACGCGGAATGAACCTCGCTTCTTCTATACGAAGATTCGGAACAATCGGCGTTCCCGGGGTGGATATCGCAGAACTCCGAGCCCTTGAAATTCCGAGCCGGAATGATGATGAATATATTTCCCGACCGAAAGTTTGAGACCGAGGCGAAAGAAACTCGAGAAGCTCATCGAACTCCCAGAAAGATGGGAGCCGGTTTCCGACAGGAAAGGGAGCACCAGGAGGAGGAAAAGAAACATTCGTCTGTTTATCTATTCAAAAAGCAGAAATGACTTTCTTAGACATCGCTTCCCGTGGACGCCCATCCGCAGACGACGATCTTGAGGAGAGCCTCTTGCTCCGCTTTCATCATTTCCTTCGGCTTTACGCTGGCGGCTTACGACAAGCGATGGGGCACCACGCATTGTACAGTTGGACAATGGTGTTGGGACGGAAGAGAACTTAGATCGGAAAGTAGGTGTCAAACAACGGATAGGCTCTACATGCTGTAGGATTCATTTTTTCTCGGTGAAGTAAACACCATCGATATGGGGGCATCGCGGAGGAGAGCTGGAGCCGCTCGACTGCCATGCTGGATCTCGATAAAGATCCCATGACAACCCGCGAGTGAACAAACGAACACGGAGGACGGAACGATCTTCGGGAAGAAAGCTATCAAGCAAAATCAGCAAGGCGGTCCGCGTAAAGATCTCTTGGCATCGTATCCACCTCGTTCTCAGAACAAACGAATACAAGTTTCGAAACGAAGGCCGTTTCCGCCGGAAACGACTCACAAAAAAAGATTGAAAACAACGAGGGAAATGGAGGGATATGGGAAAACGTCACAGCTTATGACATATGAACACGCGCACTCTCACGCTCAAATCATCGAAGCAATTGTTTCGAAAGGGCTCATCAGATCGCACGCACCGCAGAAGCCCGGGTGGATTTCCCCGCGTCCATCCGACTGGAAAATGCTACGTACTGCGCTTCGAGACGGGTCATGTAAGGCCAACAAGTTGACCCGGCTGGTGGTTCATCGCCAATCGTCTGGGTATGCAACTTATAGTCTGGCAGACTGGATAAGACGAGATGATGCGGCCCTTTGCCCCTTTTACGTCCACGGAAGCTTTTCCCGGACGCTCGCCCTTCGCGGATTCGTCGTCCCCGAGCAGCAGCAGCAGCAGCAGCATCATCATCACGATGATCATGAGCAGAAGCCGCAGCGATTCCACATGACCCACACAACCAAAGCATCCGCTCTTGACAGATACAAGCTCACGTATGCGCGCACGCTCGCACGCACGCATGAAAACGAGATTGCCGACCGAAGCGGCGGCTCCTCAATAACGAATGCGAACAGCTCTAATGTCTATCTGAACTCGATCCGGTTGACCAGACGTCGGAAGCCGTTGGAACGCGACGGTCCTTCAATCAAATGGTGTGTTGAATCTCCGCGAGTTCGACGCCTTCGACTTCACGCGTCCCTCGTCTCACGGAAATTCATTCCCACTGGCCAGCTGACGAAGTGACTGGCTGATCTTTTCGGGAGTCTACGATGAACGAGATCAGTGGTGAACGATGCAACAAAATCAATGAACGTATCGTCGACCGTGCCGACAATTTGCTGGCGGAGATTCTTCGCGCCGCAGCACCGCGGTTTCTGGGGCCGACCGAAGCAAAGTCGCTGTCGGGTGGTAGAATGACGCAGCTATCGAGGTGGAGCGAGCGAACAAGCAAGCAAGCAAGCAAGCGAGTAAGTCAGCCGACCAACCAAGCGAAACTCATTCACGGTCACAAACTTCGACAGAATCCGTGCTGCACTTCAGTCCCGTCCTCATTCCCCTTGTCTCACGGATACAGTCTCGAATCCTACGCTGCAAATTCCGTTCGACACTGGAAATCCCTACCAACTCGACACAAAAAACGCGCACGAGTTTTTCCACCGAAAACAAACGAAAGAACACGGAAAACATTCCCTCAAACTCCGGTCGCCGGCAGCGTCGTCAACTCGATATTGACCGGGACAGGTATCGCACTGCGACCAAGAAAGACATGTCAACTGGAACGCGTAACTGACTGACTGACAGACCATTTGTCTGTCAGTCTGTCCGAATCACTCGGCACTTCCGTAGCAGTCCGTCAAAAGTACTCTAGAATGGGTTCGGGAATCTATTGAAAATCCTTCACATCATCATCGCTGGAACTGTCACCGCATCGTGCACGCGAATCAAAACACCAGAAAATCTTTTCGTGTCAAAGGTGAAAACTCCTCTCACCTGATGTTTGTATTTACACTTCACTGAAAAGTCGCTCTGACAAACCATATATTCTCGATAAATAATTGAATTCTTTCCGCTGCATATCACATTCAGTCCATCTGTCAATCGATCGATCGATTGTTCGTCTCTTCCCATCCGATCGTCACAACTCGGTGCTGATCAAATTCCTCAACGGTGTTGAAGTCCGTGAAATTCCGTTCGTCAGCGGCGAAACTCGACCCAGAGACGAGCACGGCGAAGTTCCTGGATTTCCCGACGAGGAATCACTCCCGAGTGAGCCGGTCCTGCTCACGGACCTCATTTCGTAGCGCGTTTTCCCGTTCGGCTCCAAGAGGCGATGATTGATTTCAGATTTAACTGCAGGCTTCTCTTTGGTTCTACAGAATACTCGGATGTCGGTACGTACCTCATCGAACTTCCTCAGCTGCTCCTGCTGTTCTTGCAGCATATCGTTCGCCTCGTTCTTAGCAGACACCATCAGCTCATTGAGAACTCTCTGATCGGTACCGTTTTTGATGACGATGTTGTTGTTGATGCGATTCATGAGCGGTGATTGTTGCTTATCGCTGATGGATTTCTTGAGATTGATGTTCCTCGAGTCGCATCTCATGTCTGCTGACAATGTGACATCACCGTCACTACTGTTACAGTCAATTCCGGTTTTTTCCCCTTGTTGTGTGCCTTGTAGGTGTTTTGCTGGATGCTGAGGTTTCCGTGAGCAAAAGAATTGCTTTCGAAAGAAGATGTGTGGAAACGATTATCGTCGTCGTTGCCCCTCATGCTATCGTCCTCACTATCGGACGAGCACTCGCTCGAGGCCTCCATGTCCTCGGGATCGGCTAAGCTAGTCACTGTTTCATTCAGGAGATCTCCTTGTAGTAGATGCTGATTGGACGCTGGCAAGCAATTCATGATTTGGTGGCTTTTATCATTGGAATCATCGTTATCAGCACGATTCGTGTTGGAATGAGAATCTTTCGACTGAACCCTTTGAGACTGTCGTCTGGAGAAACGTTGCGATGGCCTGCGCTCGAATTGCACCGTTCTCCGGGGCCGGGATCGTGCAGTTGCCTGCCACTCCGTTTTGCCGGAGTAGCGGAAGCGCGATCCCATCCGGAAGAGGTTCTGTTTGAGAGCAGATTGCTGAGGAGGTGCTTTCAGACGGAAAAACGTGTGGTGCTCGATCGCACATTTCCAGAGGTGCTTGGCGGCTTTCTGGTTGAAAAGACGAAACACGAACGTGTGTTCCTGCTCGTAGCCTTCATCGTCGTCTTCAACGACGACGAGGGTGAGTTTTTTGTTCTTGATATCCAAGCGCGTAATTCTCGGCCAGAAGAACAGACCGATCTTTGTTGTGCCTTCGAAAACAAGGATGCCGGTGGGCGTTAATCCGAGCGAATAGCTGTAGCCGTCCTTGCCAAGAACCGTGTGCATGTCGACTCCGTAGAGTTCGAGCCACTTGGCCTTACTGAGATAGCTCAGTTCGGCCTGTGCGGAGGTCTGTCCTCGCAAGCGTCGGAACGCTTCTAGTATGTCGACTTCCATCTCCTCGGTCTGCTCGGGACAAAATCGGAACTCTGATATGACTTCGGCGGTATGCGTTTTGGGCTCGAAATCGCCGAGTTCCGACTGCAGTGCGAAGCCAGCGAGTTCCACTAGGGTTTCATAGGGGCAAGGAAGTCTACCATGCAGCACGTCTTGTTTGAGCTGAAGGAAGAAGAGGTATCGGGTGAGTTCTTCTCGGAGCAGCGTAGGCTCCGGCGAGTAGAATTTCACCCGCATTCGGAACGTGTAAGGCGGTCCAATGACATTTTGCTTCCGAACGCATTTCGTAGGATCGAGCCAATGATTCACGTTGTAAGCGTCGGTGAACTGTAAGCCGAAGTAGTCCTTTTCGATGAGATCAATACTGTAGAACACCTGTTCGAGCAGAGTCTCCCCGAGCGCTTTTTTCGACAGTTCCACGGTAAGGTCCGCCCCATCCAGCAGCACCACTTTGCACACAAGACAGTGACTAGTATCAGGTGTTGTTGGGGCCTGAGGTCCTCCTTTGGTCCAGCGCTTGCTGATGTAGCGGAACATATCGAACAGAAGTTCGTCGGCGGCGTTTCGGCGACGGCTGCAAGCTCTGCTGTCAGCTTTCGGGAATCACTATCATGGGAAACGCATTTGCACGGCGCGCCGCTGCATCCGAATTGGAGACCGAACGCTAGATTCTCATTTTCTGCAGGCGAACTTGTCACGGACACAAACACACTCCCGAAGAGGACGAAGACCAACAATCCTTCGCACTGTCCTGACTTCGGCACGAGCAGAAGGTAAATAAAATGGTGTCACGCTGTTCTGCTATGGTAAGAGAGAGCGAGTCGGCCAGCCAGCCCGCAGGAGAAAGAGACGGCACAACCGTCGGAAAGGGCGCGATTACGGACTAACGGATTGTAGCTACGTCAGGTGCGTTGGCTCTGCTCGATTCCTAAGCCAACCCTGCGGCCGGCGCCGCCGCCGCCTACCACGGATACGTCGTCTACGTCGACCGTGATGATGACCACAACCACAACAACAACGACGTCGCAGGCAGCAACGACAATGACGCGTTGCTACTGCTCCTGGATGCTAGGACACCAACCAGCGCCGGCCGTTCTTAGCGAATGAAGTATTGTTACCAAAAGACCTCTGGGACGGAACAACCTTCTATGCTTGAAGCCGAGTGACAGAATAAGTGCTACTCCCAGAATTTCATAAGGTTCTGCTTTACACGATCCGGGTCGAGCTTTCAGGACATCGATTATTCCCCAGAACGGATGATTGATACTCAATGTCGATGTTCACTTTGATTGATTTCTCGTTTATTCTCATGGCTCTTGATAAGAATCCGACTGTCAATAGGCCCGGAGATGAATCGACCGACCGTTTCGAAGGAACTTCTAAGGGTAAAGGCAGGAGAGGTGCGGGGAACCTGAGGTTCGGGGTTTCCCAAATTCAATCTCCCCTGTGATTCCCAGTCGTATCCCCATCGTTCTATGGACCTTCCATTTGACTTTGCGTATCCAGATATCACGAAAGACCAGAAGCTCGTAATCGAATTATGGAGGGATAAGCTCCTCGGATAGCGAGCTTGACACTCGGGGTGTATCGTGTATCCATCTTGCTAATCTCGCTCTAAGTCGCTCGAGCTCCGGACGATCATCGAACTGGCTTCTCCGCCTGCTGGCTCGAGCTCGGGGTACCTGACAGACAAACTGACTGACCGACTGACTGCTCGCCAGTATCACGAGTGTGGCTCAGTTTGACACTTTCAATCATCGAGTTCACCCTCTGCTGCTGAGACACGGTAGGAGGCAGACCGAGAGCGGGAGGTTGAGCGTCTCAGCTTGAGTACATCGAGCCAGCGAACTTTTGAAATCAAATTCGCAATTCTGATCCTTGCAATACGGTAGGCCATGCGGCAGACGCAGAGTCTGAGGGCCCTACAGTTTTCCCACTCGTTGACAAAATCTCACCTCGTCGACGCGGTCAGAGGGTATGAAAGGGAACGATCCCAGACCTCGATGTCATCCGCGACAGGCTCTACGAGTTGATGGACGTCGTGAAAACGAAGTCTGAATACCAGAACACCGACGATGATGGTGAAGGCGATAATGGTGTTTGTTTGGGAAATACTTCGTTCCCGAGCGGCTGAGCACTCCACCGTTGAAAAGAATCAATTCAGAACGAGGCACGACCACGGGGGACAATGCCAGGACCGGAGACTTTTTTCGGTCACAGAAACACATGATACGCCTGGGACTTTTTGTGCGGAATTTTTTCACGGACCAATCAATCCGAACGTTTGACCGCCCGTAAATAGTTTAGCCGCCTCGGCCTTTGCCGCTCTTCCGACCAAGCGACCGACGATGACCACAGAAGTAGCCAATGCGAGTCGACCCGAGCGATGGATTCCGATGTCGGCAAGCACTGAAGCTACCACCGCTTCTAGGCAGAGGGGTTAAATGCTTCATTTGTGCACATCGCCTTCCTTTTGTCTGTCCGCACAGCGTAACGGTTCGAGACACCGCAGGAAAGAGCTTTCTCGCGGCTGATTCCGACCGGTCTGGTCGTCACTCCGAAAGGGGCGAGGAGCCCGATTAGGGATCGTTCAATGATTCGGCATTTTCGAGACACTGCTTTCTTCATGGGTAATAAGTAGATATCAGAGCTTCCTGGGCTGAATTCGGGTAAACCAGGGCAGCAGGAGATCGGCAAGGCGGAGATTTTCGAAGCGAGACGCTTTGGACATGTTTTCTCAAAGTAGGAGTCGTCTTCGTGGCTCGATTGTTCCTTTCTTGGCCGGTGCTCCTCCTGTAAGAGGGTGCAAGCGAGTGTACTCAATTCATTCGAATCCCTTGCGAACAAGCGGGCGAGTGTAACCTCTTCTTCTTCGTCTTCTTTCGGGAGCCCACTCACTTACAGACCACAAATCACATTGCAATTACTTTAGCTCGTGCTTCTCGTCGCTCGCTCCTTTCCAACAGCCGCTCTCGCTCGACATCTGTGTGAGCTTTATGTATGCTGCTTGTTCGGTCGATCGACGAAGGCGAAAATATTCTCCCTCCTCGTCGCTTACTCCCTCGTCGACTGACTACTGAGAGTGCGAGAGGGGTTGCTGTATGCATTGGCTGGTTCGGTCGAGGAGCAGCAGCTCCGATGCATCGAACCTCCAGCAGGATCGTTCTCCAGGATCATGGGGCTACAAAGGACCAAGGTGTGCCGAGCTACCTGCCACAGCATCCTCCTGTCGCACCATATGCGTCAGGTAATCTCACCCGGTGGCAGCAGTTACAGATTTTTATTAGCGCTTAGATTACTGGAACGCGCCCATGCTATTTCATTGAAGGTGTCGACTAGCCAATGTTATTATCGACGACAGTGTCCCGGCTCGCGGCGCTACAGCAGATCGTCTTTGTCGTTGTCATGAAATAGGACGAATTTTTCCGATGTTACCAAATACTCTTGGAATTGATGTGCGTTTTGGCCAATTACTCGTAAATACTCGAGGAATCCCGTCAGGCAGGAACGGAAAGCCGATGAGTATATCCCCTGCGATCGGATACGCTTAAGGGGGCGGAGCGGCTGTTCCGAACCAGTACGACGGTGACGCTCAATAGCACAAACGGACCGAGGAAAGAACGCAGAGACAGGCGAACTGTTCTGGCTCCTCCGGTCATCGTCGACGGGTCGCGCGATCTGCAGTGCTCAATCGTTCTGCTCTGGGTGAACCTTGGCCTGGTGGGTGACCTTCGCGATGGCTCACAGATGAGCGTTAGCAGTCCCAGAGCAATGTAGATATAAATTATGATCGTATCAGGAGCGACAACTACAACAACAACGACAAGCGCGACTGATAAATACAGACGCACGATCGCGAATAATCGCTTAATTAGTGCCAGAACGACGTGTACCATGATCTCAAATTACATCCGATCCATGCGATTCATCGGTGGGAATCCGGTCGGGTGACGCAGATCACATACGGGGAGCGTGATTCGAAGCGCCGAGAATCGCTGCGTTGCTCTCCCTAATTCCATGGGTCATACCTCAGTTTGTGAGATTCCTGTAGCAGCTCACTCGTCCTTCATGAATGGCCGGAGGACGACTATTGAAAAATTGGGGAGGAGAAACAATGACGCGGATAAAAATACGCGAAATTCCCGCTTCGTTCCGGACTCCGATCCTATTCTGAGATTCCGAGACGATTCGATGGGACGTAAGTTGCCCCCAATGAGATTTTTGAATTGTCCTCGCGTTCCGAAGGCGTCAATCCACGAGTCCTCAATCAGTTCCGTGCGCCTTGCCTCGTCTGATGGGAACAATCGAAACGCCGACAGCAGCGACATATATCCGAAGATCTTCACGACTATTTCGAATTTACAGCGCGTCCTGCCGCGGATGTTTCTCGCCCCTGTCGCAACGAGTCTTGAATTGTATGTAAATATCGTCTGTTAGAAAGGGTCATTCGATTACTGCATCGCCGCAAGAGTGTGTATCAGGAGCAGCTTCCAAATTAATGATGACCGTTTATTCCAGGTCGCGCGCCTACAGCCGTTAGTGGCAACAATGTCTTTGTCTCGGAGAATTAGCATCTTCGCGACAAAGTTGTGTCGCGCAAGTCCTCCGCACCGGACATTCAGGAGCGGAACAAACGGCTGTCTCACCGTCAGCTCTACAACTCGGTCCTAATCGTGAAATTCTCGCCGGGAGCCATTGGGAATCGGAAGGGTCCCCGTTAGAAACGGTTTCGTTTCTCCGCGTGAGTTCGTATCATCATTTCGGATGACCATTCCGCTCGGAATTTGTTGTCCATGCGGTGTGGACTCGCCAGTTTGTTTGTGAGGTTGTTCTGGTCATGCTCACGTTTGTGTTCGTGAGCGAATGCAGATGGTTCGACATGGATTAGCGGTCTGTCGCACGACAGAGAGTTCATAATTCCGAGGCAATATTGTGTCTCGATCAATGTCTAAACGGGCGCCGCTCTGGCACATGTTGTGGCTTCCGGCGTTTCCCAGTCGCTTGTTTAGCTTGCATAGACTCGCGAGACCCGCGCAGCATGAGTCCGCTATGAATTCTGAGTAGCCCGCTCGGGAGTCACTGGGCCTGTATTGAGTTTCCTTCTGCGATCGGACGAGTTCGAAGGAATTGCATTTCAACGGATCCCTTTGTGAAGTCGCGGAAAATCGATGCAGATCCTTTAGTTCTTCTGGGTCGGCGCAGATGGTCAACCAGGAATCTGTCAGGGAGCTCTTCCTAAGCCTCACTGAAGAGAAACGCTATCTAATGGAAAATAAATACCCCGCACCTGACGGTGACGATGTCAGACAGACTGGCAGGTCCCGCAGCCATCAAATAATTCTTTGTTGATCTTGTTGGAGTGTCCCGATATTTTGAAACGTGTCATCACACTCGGGGGAACTGCGTGTCAAGCCGCATGAGCGGGCGGGCCCTTGCACTCCGCGCCAGCAGAGTCAGGCTCGGATTCGAATGATATAATGCCCGAAAAAAAATCGCGGCGATGATCGGCGTGGGTGATACCGGAGCGGTGGTCTCTCGGGCCT